CTAATTCCCGATTATGTTAGGGCCACGCGCTATATGCAAGCCCCTTTTCTCGTCTTGTATATAGCCTGGCTCCCGTCCCTAATTCAACTCGGCATCTTAACGTCTTGTAACCAACCACGGTAATAGCACGTAGTTATCCTTCTTTGAATCTGATACTTGTCTATCTCGCGTTCAAATGCCCGATACATCGTCACCGTGATATTACGTCAAGATCCTCACAAGGGCGTGCCAGAGCCTGAGATGAGTACCGACCTGGACGCCCGCAACGACACTGCTGAACCCAGACACGACGCCCGCAACAATACTGCGACCGATCGCTAGCACCGTACTGCTGCCCCGATTGCTAGCACTATACTGCTGTCCCGATTGCTAGCACCATACTGCTGCCCCGATCGCTAGCACCGTACTGCTGCCCCGATCGCTAGCACCGTACTGCTGCCCCGATTGCTAGCACCATACTGCTGTCCCGATTGCTAGCACCATACTGCTGCCCCGATCGCTAGCACCGTACTGCTGCCCCGATCGCTAGCACCGTACTGCTAGATAACCTGCGTCCGCTGCCTCGTCCGCCGCATCGCCTGTCGCTGCCTGCTGGCAATATACTGCCACCCGAATACGATGTCAGATAAGGGCCCTTAGGACCCTCCCTGGCAACCGAACGCTCTCGCCTTGGCGATTGAGCCCGAACCGACCCTGTTTTGTGCCGATATGCCTGCAAAAACACCCGTTTCTGCCCCCTTTTTCTGCCTAAAAACAGGGGCAATTTTTTGGGGGACCTGGGGTAGCCAGAAGGGCGCCGTGGATGGCGTCCTAGAGCGCTGCGAGATGAGTACAATAAATTAAGCAGATATACGCGTCTCTAGTCCGAACAGAGACTGCAACACAGACTGGATGTTAGAGCTTGGCTATGCTGGAAGTCAACGAGCTAGCTAGAAGCAATGAAGCGAGGAAGCTTTCACGAGAACGTTCTCTGTGTGAAGGGCTCCTGCAGAGGCTAGAGCTAGAGCCTGGAGCGGAATTTCACAGAAATTTTTTTTCTCCTGTTTCCTGTTACCCGTCCTTTCTATCTCGCTTCGCTTGCATTTAAGAGGGAGGTACTGTCACGGTATTAATTATGGCCTCCCTCTAAGCATCAATCCCCTGACACCTTGTTCCCGCATACGTGCGCACGCGTGCGCCACGCGCCTGCCACCTGATTCCCGATTATGTCAGGGCCACGCGCTATATGCGAGCCCCTTTTCTTGTCTTGTATATAGCCTGGCTCCCGTCCCTAATTCAACTCGGCATCTTGACGTCTTGTAACCAACCACGGTAATAGCACGTAGTTATCCTTCTTTGAATCTGATACTTGTCTATCTCGCGTTTAAATGCCCGATACATCGTCACCGTGACAATTATATATAAGCTTAAACTATAGCGTAATAATCCTTAGATTTTTATATAGAGCTTTTTAGCAATTATACTTTTAATTAAACTATGTTTAAAGCTTATTAGTCCGCTTAATAAAGTTATATAGCTAGTTCTTGCCAACTTAGCTAGTACTGCGCTTTCTAAGTAACTTATTAGCTATATCTCTTACAGCGTTTAAGCTAGATGCAAACCCTTGCAAATCTAGATCAAGTATATGTTTAATAATAACTAATTCCTCTAGCTTTGCAAGCTTTTTTGAATTGGGCTCACAATCGCGTCGAGCGGTAGTTCCGGCGCGTCGGTTTTGGAGCGTACTTCTAGGGACGTTATACATTGCAACAGCGCGTCGTTTGCCTTAAAGTTAATTCTTATCAATTGCTAAGATAGCTAGGCAGATTCGGCCTTTTTTTTTTGGATTGATTGTATATTGCGTTGTTAAGACATGGTGGTTAAAAGCTAACCGAGCGCGTTTTAGTAATAAGGTGGCCGGCTCGCTTAGGTGGCCGGCTCGCTTGTGTTGCACGTTATAGCTTTATTAAATAGGCCAGTGCTACGTGTACGACCCCGTTTTGCTGCTTGTACGATGTCCTTTTGCTGCACGTACGACCCCCCCCCTAGCAGCCCCTTCACCGCGTTTTAATTGGCTCGCTTATCGGGCCGACTACTCCGGAGCATAGATAGATTCCAAATGCGAGTATTAATCAGCCGCCTAGGAAGCGCGGTAGGCTACCTAAGAACTTAACACCAGGAGGTCCTATAAAGAAGCGACGTGCGAATACCAAGGCAGATCTTAAGCGGAAGATTGCGCTACTAGAAGCGCAGGTACGGGGTTTACAGCCTGTCGCAGGAAGTACAGCGCAGTCGACAGGCCTGCCGCAGCCTCGTGAGGCAGCTCGTGAGGCGGCTGATAAGGATTTTAATGAGTATGCGGAGGATCTCGTTAATAAGGACTTTACGTAGGTGCTTGTAGGCCAGGGGCGATGGAGAGAGGGCCTCTATTAGGTGCGAAATCGACGGTTTAGGCATTCTCCTAGGCAGGTAGGCAGGTAGGCAGGTAGGCAGGTAGCTATACATGTAGCTATATACGTAGCTATACAAAATGAGAAGGCTGTAGATAAAACGGAAAGGCTGCACGTGCAAATATATATAAGAGTGAATGGCCGGAGGAACCTCCGAGCCCTCCGAGCCAATTAAAACGCGGTGAAGAGGCTGCTAGGGGGGGGGGGGGGTCGTACGTGCAGCAAAAGGACATCGTACAAGCAGCAAAAAGGGGTCGTACACGTAGCACTGGCCATTAAATAAACCCTGCAACTTTATAGGAAAAAAATAGGGAACTAAAAGTACTATAGTAATAGAATAGTTATATATTACTAGCTACAACATATTAAGCAAGGGAGGATGTACCAAAGAATAGTATTGGATGTTATGTGTTCCGACTAGGCAAGTTATAAATAGGTGCAGTTAGCGCAGGCTTAAGGGAGAACCACCTGCTACTTTAGGAAATCCCACTAATATTGTAACACCAATAGCAATGTTAACCCCTTTCTCCCTAATATGCTTTCGTCCTGCTAATAGCAAACTTCTTTTCGTTGTTCGAGCTCGCAGGTGGGACTACCTCGTCGCTATCGTTGCCCTTCTAGTTCACTACTCGGGGTGGCTGGAATAAGTGGAATAAGTAGCTTGTCGTTTAAGCCTGTCGGACAACTAGTCCAATATTTGCGTTTATATTAAGAGGTCGTTAGGGGTATATTCCGACATTAGTTACAATCTAGCGTTAGGAACTTAGGAGATTCTTAACAATCTTGTTGAACAGACACCCCACCGGAAGCAGCCCCGAGTAAGGTGACTCTCAGCCTACAGCCTAAACAACACGTGCGGTCCAAAGCTTTACATCTTTCTTGGAAATATGAGATAACGTTAAAGCACCTTATGCAGTAGTAGAAGGCTGTAAAGTTGGAAAGAGTGCAGTACAGGCTAACCGCTTACCATAGGGTGTAGTGGACCCGCCATCGCGACCCTTCCACAGTACTCAACTCTCTTATTTCAGCCTCAGAAAATCGCAGCTTGCGAAGAAGGAGTGACATAAAGCGAGAGACTCTTCTGTTACTTAGGCAATCTTAGCAATAGGGTTGCGGTTGGAAACTAGTACTTACACGTGTGAGTGAATTATATTTCTATAAGCAACAGAACTCGTGCTATAATACACTCTAGTATTCTCCAGATCTTCTTAAAGTACCATGCGAACTATAAGGCGGTGAAAGTAAGGAAGGCGAAACAGGAGGTGAACACTTACAATCTCACGTGCTTCTCATTTTCCGGCACGTATCCTAAATGTTAAGACAACACTAGCAGGACGTCCCTAATGCCAAAGGTTTTTAGCATTAGGGGCGCGATTCGAGAAACTAGAGGCACGGGACTGACTAACACCTAGGGAGCCTCTAAGTAGAAAGCCACGATCGTGCTTGCAGAGAGGGTAAGGAGTTATTTGTCTAGCGCCTAAGTTTTTCTACGTAAGCAGATTATTAAGAAAAGGTGGCTAAAGCATTAATATTTCTCTCTTATGTGCTCCTTATTTTCCAACCACGAAACACACCTTCTAGCCGTGCGTGGGAGCACGTGACGGACTAATAAGTAGGTGCTTGTCGATAGGTATAACTGCACATAGTGAACTTGCCCGTGTAGTTCTGCTTTAATTCTAGTTACCTTAACCATTTTTTAACTGACACCCTACTGTAAATACAGCTAAGAAAAGGCGGATGCGGTCTCTCATGTGTTCCCTATTTCCACTCCACATCCGCATTATTTGTCTCTGCGTTGGGGAAGTGCACGGCCAGGAAGTATAAACGTGGATAGGAAATATGGAACATGTGACTAAACAAAAGAAATCTTACTTAACACCAGCCTTGAGACTTCTACATGCATGACCTATTATATTCAAAACCTATTGCGATGCACTAGGCGATATTAGCGAACGTCTTATTAAGAGTAATTAAATCCGACCTATATAATTAACTCGATTATCCCTATAGATCCTATTTTGTGCGGCGAAGACGCAATCCTATAGAAGTGTCACGATAGCGCTATACGCAAGAGGTTGAGGGCTTAAAGAGGAGCGTTGATTAGGTGCTATGTATAATGCTACGTGGAGAATCAAGACGTTGTGTAAGGAACAGGAAGACGGGAGACGGGCCACCGGATATAAGGGCGTGGCCGAGCGCGTGGCGTACGGCCTCTATGCCGTTTCGGCGCGTGGCACGCGTGTATGCGAGGTCCTTACCAGATCAGGTAATAGGAAAAGGGGGCGGCCGGTAGGTGGCTGGAGCGGGACAGGATAGGAAGCGGAAGCGAGACGGGAGCGGAGCAGGGTAGGCAGGGTAGGAGGCCGGCCAACGGTAGTAGGCCGGTGCAGATTGCTGGAGTTGTAGCAATCTGCGGCAGAATTTCGGTAGGTAGGGTGTCGCGGTCGATACCGTGACAAGAAGGCGCCACCGGCTCGTGCACGCGACAGGCTCGTGCACGCAACCGAGCGCCACCACCACCAACTTCAAAAATTCATATCTCCATCAATTTTACACCAATTCACTCAGAAAATGGATCCACTTGAAGAGGCGATCGAGGAGGCCATTCTTACCGAAGGAAAGAATCTCACGGCGATTGCTAAGAAGCATGGTGTTGATAGATCAACACTCTCACGGCGCTACCACGGTGTTACTGGTTCCAAAGCGGATAGCTACGATACTTAAATGCTTGTCAATCGCGCTTAATCTAGGGCTCTCCTAGCTTATATAAGCTACCTTACAGCCAAAGGAATACCTCCTATATATAATATGCTTCGAAATCTGGCCTATAAATATATGGCCAGGAACTAACTAGTTATACCGATAGGTTAATTACTACAAAAATCAGCTAGATATAGGCTACTTAAAGCCTATTAACTCTGCATAGAAGTAAACAGAATTAGAGTAATACTATAGGCTATATTTTAAGCTTTTTAGCGATAAAATTAAGTAATATAGTGTTAAGAAGCAGAATACCTATAATATAGATAAGAAGGGCTTTCTTATCGGCTGCTTACTTTAATAGTATTATTATTAGGTTCTATTAGGCCGATTTAGCTCCCGTTAGGGTCTATATGGCAGTGCTATCTAGGTTTTATTTACAAGGGGAAACCGTTCGCTCTATAGCGGTCGGGTGAAAACCTTGTTTTCTACAGTGTATAACGCCTTGCGTTCCTTTTGTTTCTGCGCGGCTGTGGGGGA